TTTTTAATGGATCGGTTTCACAAGTTTATGGGTCGGATCTAGGCCCGACCCGACCCAATAGCAACCCAGAAACACAACAGCCCCATGGCTGTGCGTTTCTTACCGTTTTATGCTCCATTTTGACCCTTTTTTGATTTATTTTCTTCATTCTTTTTGTACTAAAACTTTGGTAATATTTTACCAACATTTTGACATAAAAAACACAATTTTTTGTCAACAAATGAGTTATGTTTTCTTATTTAAAGTTTTAGTTTTCAACTAAACCGAACGAAACTTTAAACCTCAAAATCGAACCATAAAACACGAAATATGGAACGTAAGGCTACTAGGATTCTGTAGAGGACTAAAAAACGAAGTTAACCATATAAAGAACATGAATTTTAGTTTGAATATTTTACCTCTAATCGTCGATAAACGGAGATTTCAGATGGGGACTTTCGAGCGCTCCAATTTCTCTCCCGATTTTCAGCGAAAATTCAAAATGTTTGAACGGAAATTGTAGAGAGGAATGCTGGCTATTTATTCATGTAAACTTTTGGCTTATTGGTTGACTGAACGAGCCAATAGGAGGCCTCAAAAGTCGTCATCGTTTTATCATTTTCAAAAATCAGAATATGACATATTTATAGAACAAGTCATTCTGGTTTGGACCTGTTAATATCTGACTCACCTCTTTAACTATCACAAAGTTACATTTGGCCCCTTGACTTCAATGTTTTTGTCAAAATTACACTTTTCACCCCCATTTTGAGTTTTTTCTTCATTATTAATCCGATTTCAAAATCCTTTTCATTTCTTTATTTATAATATATATATTATAATCCAAAAAGGAAAGAATAATAATAAAAATAAAATTAATTATTTACTCCTCAAATTTTCTTTTTTTGGGTTTTACAATATTCATTTTCAATTTAATTAGTTGTATACCCGCGCAATGCAGCGGGATGTGAAATTTTGTAAAGATGTGAATGGGCATATTGATTACGGATAAACATTTGTATTTGAAAGTATCAGACCCTACACTTTATTGATTTTTCCATATTCAATGGATTTGAGATGAATTGAAACAATCCAATAATCTATTTGATGTCGTATTATGAAACCATCTATCAATCTCAAAAGAAAGCAYGAYGTGACTTATCTTATACTACTGTCCATGTAGATTTCTTCACGAGATAACTATTCATTAGAATGCAATAGAAKAACTSTRATGGAAGCTAAGAAGCCACTGTCAATGAATATTACCCATTGAGGAAGCTTAAAGATGGCAAACAAAATCCGGACAATTGACCAATAAAAGAGAGAAYAAGAAACATACATCATRAAATACGAGGGTTTTGCTARTAATAAGTAGTTAAATAATCCTTCCAATGGTTGATTTATAACAAGGATAACCATGCAAAGATAAAATAGATCTTACCAATTATGTAATTAACAACATAACTCTACTTTATCTCAACAACTTGATYTTYGATATTTAATGTGTTTGTGCATTGTCCTACATTCACAACAATTTGATGTGCAACTTTGAACGCCATAACAAAACAGAGAAAGAGATGACCTCAACTTCTCCAAAGGCACACATCCTAGATCAATATTGCATATTGGACAACATTCAAGTTCTTCATCCAAGAGCTTCTTACAAATACATTTCCTGCAGACTGACAACATCCAAAAGGCAAAAAGTGAAATAACAATTACCCATTTTTTAGAGTTGGAACAGAAATAGAAATTCAATGAAAATGGTTGCAAGTACATTAAAGTAACTTCCTTGTGACCTAGGCATCCATTATTAACTCTTTACCTACGATTGAATGTTCTTATACCCAGGTAGCACATAAGCCTGATGGACTCAACTCTGTTTTTGGCAATGAAAATCACATCATCTTTAATCTTTAATCAAATTACCTTGCTTTATGCAAATCCTAGAAGCCAATTAGAAAATGCAAAACCATCTCCAAGCTATATTGTAATAATACAACATTAACCAACAAAATTTTTTGGGCAAAGGCAATACTAAGTACTAACAAGGGTATACTCGAAAATTAGGGGAATTCACAAAACACTATGTTGATATCTTCTTCTAGCAAACACAAATCGTCATTCCCAAACAACATACAGAAAAAAATTGTGAAATTGTGATCAATAAGACCAATAGAGCAKGAAATCTCACATCAACCAGTTAAAAATMTTTACTTCATTCAGTCTCTAACTAAGGAATGAAAACACAAAAACTAATGGAAACCATTTATTCATAAAAGAGATTTGAGAACTTAATTACCTCATTCGTGGGAGGACTACCATCAACAAATCAAACGATCAAATAGTTTAAACCCCTTTAAGATCAGAAGCAAGGGGTGATAGTTTGAATCAAATTCAATCTCAGGAACATAATATGATGACATAAAATATGTGTATTACGAAATTGTTAGTACAATTTCTAAGATTTACAATAGAAAAAAATGGTATGATTGTAGGTAAAAAGATCAAACTGATTACAAAAAGAAAATGGATATTAGAACTTGCAGAAAGATTAAACCTGGAAAGGGTAAATCCATTGTTCAACTTACCCTGTTGTAATAATACCCAGAAATTAGCTAGTATTTGCATCTGTTGTTAAAAACAGTGCATCTAATCCTATACTTTTTTCCAGTAAGATGATTACCTGGTAAACAATCATCAACAATACCAAAGTGAGGACTATTTCAAAAAAATTATCCATGTATATCATGATCAGAGTCTCTATTCTCAAATATGATTTTCTGTCCAGAGTCTAACACCATAGATCCTGAGCGCTACTATCTTCTTCACTATGATGCATATGGCAAAATTTGAAGTTCTTCATTAAACTTCCATGACCTTCTAGCACTTAAATCACTTAAGCACGGATATAGTATATGCCTAATCACACACATAGTCTATATATCTAGATGGGTTTTATGTAAATGTTGTGTTTTGAATCAGAAATCAGAATTGGAAAAGATTACTGCCCAAGAACAAAACAATCCTAAAACACAAAAGCAATGTGTTAGTATGAAATCAAAAAACTAAGACAAAAGCAATGTGTTAGTATGAAATCAAAAAACTAAGACAAAAGCAATGTGTTAGTATGAAATCAAAAAACTAAGACAAAAGCTGTGTGTTCGTATGAAATCAAAAACTAACACAAAAGCTGTGTGTTCGTATGAAATCAAAAAACTAACACAAAAGCTGTGTGTT